CAAAGTATTATGACTATTACTAACGCTATTCAAAGCCACTCAGCTCCTCAGTGGTCGTGAAGCTAAAGCAACGACTGTGGAGCCACTCCAGTTCAAGCCATATTGCAGTAAAACAAAGGCGGAAGGAACCATTTAAGGTCCACAGAATGTTTACTTGTTTGGCCTGTGTTGAATAATGTGGAAGAAATCAAATCCAGTCCCCATCTCGGCCTGTGCAGATGATACAGGAAGATCAAGGGTTTTATCCAGCCCTGAAAAATATGTAACCATGTACAAAAGGGCTGCATGTGGCTTTGGCATGGCATAAATGTGAAGCTAGGAAATCAGGGGCAGGACAGTCACTTGCTCAGTGCGTCTGCACAGGGGAGTAAAAGGCCGTACAGTGCCTCCTTTTCTCTCCTGCATGGGCTACCTGCATCCTAGGTCACAATGTGCGGGGCCGGGGGAGAAAACTGCCCTGGTGGGGTTGCTGCTACTCCTTTGTTTCTGTGGGTGGAGTCCTGTCCCTTTTACTCTCAATGCCTCTGCCAGCACATCTGATTGGGGCAAAAAGGAAAGCTGCACCAAGGAAAGGGCTGGTGCAGATTCCTTCCCCCTCTCCCAAGGCAAGGAAGGAACAAGGGACCCAAATGTGAATCTTTGGCTCACTAGTGGCTCCCTGTTCTGTTCATGGGGCAGCCGAGCTTACTCAGGGCTTGTGGCAAATCCACAATCTAGCCCTAAGTAAGCATAACATTCAGTAGGCAGAAATACTCCACCAGAGTTAAAGATCCTGGAAGGAACGCCCACCCAACTCAATAATAATATAAATTTAATTCCCGAGTGCTTAAGAACAATCTGCAGAATGATAGGTGTCTTGAAGCCTAATGGGTCTGAATCTGCTGTCTGTTACACCAGTTCTACACCAACATAAAGCCACGGAAATTAACAGAGTTGCACTGCTGTAAAGCTTGTGTACAGGAATAGAGAATCAGGCTCCTTCTCCTTAGGAACAATGTGTCCTCTGAAATAATAAGGCGTTAAAAATAAAATCCTCATGCTGTCTATCTGTCTCGCTAGGCATTTATCCCGTGCTGATCATGGGGCAAAGCACGTATCAACGACACCCCTTTTGGTGCAGCCAAAGAAAATGGGAAGAGGAATCAACCTCAGAAAGGGAAAATGTTTCAACAATCAGGCACCATCTTCACTACAAATACAATCAGGTCACAGGACCCAGCTACAACAGGGTGGTCCCTTGACCAGTTACCATGTCTCTGGATTTTTCCCTTTCCTTCCTCTCCTTTTCTCTCCATCTTTACTTTCTTCGGGCCTGATCCAAAGCCCACTGAAGTCAATAGAGACTTTCCATTGGCTTTAATGGGCCTGGACTATGCTCGTTTTACCAGGGGGGAATAATCTTAATTGATTTACTAAGTGCATCCCTATTCAGTAAAGCACTTATGTATGTGCTTAACTTTAAGCACAGACATTGGCTTCAGTGGGAATTAAGCATATACTTAAAGTTAAGCAAGTACTTTAAGGGCTTTGGTAAATTGGGGCCTTAAAGATCACCTGCAAAGAAAAGAAAAAAAAAGTTTGTGGTTTTTTTCATTAATTTATTTTGCTTCTTTGTGATGTAATAAAGAAGGTCTGCAAGGTTTTCTTTGCCTTTTTAAGAAATCTGCCTTTTGTGCACATTAGAAGTATCAGGTCCTGACTTCCCTGTTTTTGCTGGAGGATTCCTTGGAGGACTGGAGAACTTATGGGAACGAGACACCAGAAGAAAGCGGAGACGACAACCTGAGCATCTGTGAGAGGAGGGGACTTTTAGTGGGATTTTTGCTGGTTTGTGCTAACATCTATTTAACTCAAACTCCTGACAAACAAATGGGAGGGAAAAGCTTTGTTGATGAAGGACTCAGTAAGCTATGCCATTGGTCGAGGTCTGAGAAAGTTCCCACTCCATTTCTCAAAGCCTCTAGCAACACAGGGAAGACAAGACTTTGTATCCTTGTTAGTTCTAAGGTACTAAAATGATAGAACAGAACTTTTTTTTTTTTGGAGGGGGGACAGGCAGGGGAGAGAAATCAGACTAAGCAAGACTATATATGCAGCATAAAAAAAAAGCAAAAAAGGGCATTGGCACCTTTTTTTTTCAGCTTACATTTAAAAATACAAATGAAGGCCCTGGTCTTGTATGTAAGCAATTTTGGACTTAATCCAATACCCACTGAAGTCAGTGGAATAACTCCCATTGACTACATTGGATCAGGCCCACGGTTAGTCCCATTAAAGTGAATGGGACTACTGACAGGCATAAAGTTATGAACCTGGTTGAGGGTATTCAGGATCAGGCCATAAATCTGTTTGATAAAGCCCATATTCAGGAAAGAACCCGTAAAAATGACATCTTGACAGCCTTGCTGTCAGAGTGCAGATTAACAGAGCAGGAAACCACTTGGAAGTGAATGTACAAAGGGGAGATGGGCTCAGGAAGGACAAAGCAATATATCTGCCAAAGAGCATTGGGCTTATCATCCTTCTTTGATGTAATCCACAGTGCAGCTCACTTAGATGATACCTAATTAGAAAATACCTCCAAATTGCTGCAGGGAAAATACATCCTACCACTTTCATCATAGGACCTGGTTTCTGTAATAGAGACTAGAATGCTTATTTCTGATGACCCTTGCCCCAGTCACTCCAGTTATCTCAGCTACCTCTGATTTTCATATCCTGCGGTTTTATTTCTCCAGTTTAGCACAGTCACATGCTTCTCTGATCTCCTGCAAAACGATTCAGGAACAATGGGAAGAATAAAGGATCATATCGATTAACTCATGATTTTATACACCTACTGTACCACAGCAAACCAGCTCATTACTGTATAATGTAACACTACCTCATTATTATTATTTATATTGTGGTAGTACCCAAAGGCCCCAGTCAGGGATCAGATAACACATGTAAAACACACATAACACAAAGATGATCGCTCTCCAAAGAGCGTACAATCTAAGTATAAGATGAGAGGTAACAGGTGCATACAACAAATAGACTGGTGGAGTACAAGCTAACCGTGAGATAGACAGCGATGGAACTAACAATGGTCTCAGTTTTAATTTGCTCATTGGTTGAGTGCTCAGCTCTTCGAAAGTTTCACTAGTGGTGATACTTACATACTTAACTGTGGGAGGTGGAGAGGTTTGTGAGGTTTAATTCAATAATGTTCATAAAGCATTTTAGATCCTCTTATGGAAGACGCTAGGGAAGCTATTATTGTTTTAGCTTCTTTTAAAAGACACTGCTGATACCAGTGTGCTTTTGTGGGTACATAATTATTTATTCTCAAACACCCAAAAGCATGCTAGGCACGCCACAGAAACAGGTAACAAAATACATGAAATAGAATGTTTAAAAAAATTAGGCATCTGCTACAAATGGGGAGGGGGAGAACTGTCCAATTCCTGCCTCCTTTGTGGTAGAAAGTGGAAGGTGGGAAGTAAATGAGGAATGAAAAATTTCAGCCTCAATGGTTAAAGTTTGGCAAAGTTATAAGCAACTGAAAACAGGGTCTTACAATGGGATGTGCTGGGCAACCTCAATACAGGTCGTGCTACTGTAACCCACACACCTCCTGGGTGTGGTGTTCTGTCCCATCTAGTGGCATCAAGACCACTTAAAGAGAGAGATTAATGAGTTTGCTCTACAGCCTTAGCTAACAGGCAGTGGGCTTTTAGCTCATTTGGTAGAGGCTCATGCACTAATCTCCAGAGGCCCCAGGTATGATCCTGATGACCGGGGTCTGTTGGTGTTACAAGTGAGGGCTCATCCAGGATTTTAAGTGGGAAGTCTCTGAAGCTCAGGATGTGCTCCCTCAGCTAGGGGAAGTATGTAACCCACACACCTACTGGGTGTGGTGTTCTGTCCCATCTGGTGACACTGAGACCACTTAGAGAGAGAGAGTTAAATGACTCTACTCTACAGCCTTAGCTAAGAGCCAGTTGGCTTTTGGCTCCTGCACTAAGCTCCAGAGGTCCCCGGTTTGATCCCAGGGCTGACAGCTGGGGTCTGTCGGTGTTACACTACCAGTCCTGCTGATAATATAATTACAATGTATTATTTGTGATGCCTTAGCCCTGCGCAAGTCACCACTATCCATGCTCCAAACAATTTACAATCTAGCAAGACAAGATGCAATGGGAGAACCAAGCAGAAAGCCTTACTCTAGAGCAGGGGTCGGCAACGTTTGGCACGCGGCTCGCCAGGGTAAGCACCCTAGCGGGCCGGGCCAGTTTATTTACCTGCTGACGTGGCAGGTTCGGCCTATCGCGGCCCCTACTGGCCGCGGTTCGCCGTCCTGGGCCAATGGGGGCGGCGAGAAGCCGCGGCCAGCACATCCCTCGCCCGTGCCGCTTCTCGCCGCCCCCATTGGCCCGGGACGGCGAACCGCGACGAGTGGGGGCTGCAATCGGCCGAACCTGTCGAGTCAGCAGGTAAATAAACTGGCCTGGCCCGGCCTGCTAGGGTGCTTACCCTGGCGAGCCGCGTGCCAAACGTTGCCAACCCCTGCTCTAGAGCACTTCCCCTCTCTGTGATGTGACTGGACTCCTTCACCTCCTGGCGGGCCTGGTTACTCACCTGTTTGCTTCACTGTTACAGCTAAAGTGCCAGAACCTCCTTCGCGCCTCCAGCGGCCCGTGGCAGGAGCACGTTCTCTCCTGGCATGCCCGGGTGGAGCCAACCCTCTGTCACAGCCCGGCACATTCCAGCAAGGAGGGAGGCGGGCAGGGCTCCCTCCGTTCTACCCAGGCTCGCTGGGATTCTCTGCGGCTCCCCAGGGGAAGGTGGCTCTGGGCCCTCGAAGCTCGTGTACTGATGCCACTGGCTGCGCCCAGTACAAAAATTAACCTGTCTCTGGCACGGGGTCCGCAAAGGCGCGGGACTACAACTCCCAGCATCCCCCCACGGGGCGGCACAGCCGCGGCGACCGCAGCCCGGGTGCCCCCCGGCCCCTTTTGCAGAGGAGCTCAGGCTGAAGGGGCGCGGGGGAGGGTGTCTTTGCGGTGGCCCTGAGCCCCCCCTCCCTCGCTGGCTCCCCCCAGGCTGGGGGGGCTGAGGGCGGCTCCCCTTGGCCTCTCCAGCCTGCAAAGGGGAGTTTCCAGGAAGTGGCCATATTGGATTCATTCAGCCGCATCGATCCGGGGAGAAGAGCGGGGCTCCGGCAAGGCAGTTTCCCGGCCAGAGACCCGCACCAGGACCCCCCGCTCCAGCCATGGCTGCCACGGACCTGGAGCGCTTCTGTGTGAGTGCGAAGCCTCGCTCGGCGCTGCCCGGCGGGGCGGGACCGGGCAGGGCGCTGGGGCTCCGGGCAGCTCGCCCCCAGCCCGGGCTGCAGGCGGGGCGGGAGATGATGTGTCACTCGCCGCTTTGTGCCAGGGCGCACGGGAAGTTTGGGGAAGACGCGCTGGAGGCAGCTTCCCCCTGGGGCCGCACCGGCAGCCGCTGCCCGCCTCTGGCCCCGAGGGCGGAGCGCAGCCCGGAGCAGGGCTCAGCTTTCCCTGCACGGAGCTTGCGGCCAGGGGTCCCGGCTCTCCGCCAGCCCCGGGGCGCACAGCCCAGCCCAGCGCGCAGGGACGGTCCCTCTCTCCCGTGCCCAGCAGCGGCTCTCCCAGCTAGCCCAGGCCCTGCGGGCTGGAGGGTTGAGCCCCAGTTTGGGTGTAAAGCCCGGACCCGGGCTGGGCTCTGCTGCAGTAGGATGCTCTGGGACTCGGGCTGCAGGAGGGTCAAGGGGAGGGGGCGGTGACAGCGGGGCGCCTGGCGTTGCTAGTACGCGGGGATCAGGAACTGATCCCCCGTTGGGCTTTCGCTGGGCGTGGGGAGTGCTGAGCTGAAAGAGAGGATCCGGGGCGGGGAGGTGATCAGGATAATGCCTTCAAGAAGAGGGCTTGGGTCTGTGCAGAGCTGGGTATTTGCAGACGTGTTGCAATGTTTAACTCTACAAACCCGAAAGGTTCTTCTGTTGCATTTCGCAAGTTCTGACACAACAAAGGGACAGTCCCGCTGAATTTAGGTGGAAAGTCTCCATCCAGTAATGAAGAGCCAGACACTAGCAGGCTAGAAGGGCAGTCAGATCATTCTGGGCCCAATCCTGCCATTTTACCCTGAGCTCTCTCAGGCTCTGGGGAGAGTCACTCTGATACAATCTCAGGGGGCTGGAGATAGATAAATATCCTTTGTTATTCTGCTCATGGTGTAAAGTACTGCTTGGCATGATTAAGGGTGGCAGAATCATGCCCTATTTGAACTTGTCCTGGGGCAAAATATTTGTAAGTACTATATTCTGTAATTCACATTAAGCACCACACTGCTTCTTGGGCAGTTCCATTTAAATCAACCCCAGGAAGACAAAATCTGGCCTTTAACTTGTGTTGTATATTGTAGTGCTGATTCATTCTTTCTCTGTGTTACTTTTCATTTATCCCTATAAAAAGAATGTTAAATCTCTGTTTCTCCAGCCCCATGAGATGTTGCTGTGTTGTACAGCTATAAATCCTACTCAGTGTTTTCTACAACAAATAATTGTTTTCTTCAGAATAAAAGAAAAAAGCTGATTGTTGAACTCCTGTGCATGCCGTTATCTTATCTAGAATATAGCAAACGTTTGTTTAGTTGGCAGATGTGTTCGGCCCTTGCAAATCCTTAATTGTGTAAATGTTGGCATCTAAACAAGAAAGAAGCAAAGGATATTTCTATAACCAATCTTGTGGGTGCTTCTGGATGATACAATTAATTTACAGTTTGACCTGCACTTTTATAAACAAAATCAGCTATGATTTAGTGTGTGTCTTAATAAGAAGAACAGGAGGACTTGTGGCACCTTAGAGACTAACAAATTTATTAGAGCATAAGCTTTCGTGGACTACAGCCCACTTCTCTAAGGTGCCACAAGTCCTCCTGTTCTTCTTTTTGTGTGTCTTAATGTTAGGTTGGAAGTTTTAGAGAAACATTGCAACATTTCTACAAATACCACTGCAATGTTTTGATGTGCTTGTTTTGAAAGAATAGATTACAGACCTGTAGGGAACAGGTGGGATGTTACATACATAAAATCACAATATAAAGTGTGGGTGTAGGCTCAGAGCCAAATGGCAGATGTTGGTATTGAAGCTTCATTTGATAGATGCAGAAATATACTTCCAGCAAACAAATGGTCACTCTGCAATGGATTTCAGGATGCTCTATACATTTCAGAAGAAAATTTCCATCCAGCCTATTGTATAGTTTCAATGTGTGGTTTGATGCTTAAATGATTCATAAAGATGTTTATAGTTTGTGAATACCGTTGTCATGCCAAAAATGCTCGCAGAGGAAGTTGAATACTCATGTGTTCATAGGTATGGATTTATATAGGGATGAGAAAAATAAATAAAGTGAGTTAAGGCCTTGTTTACAATAAGAATTGTTTGGATACCAGTTGTATGTAGATGTCTTGAAACACTGCCAAAGGCTTGCTCTCCATAGCTAATAGTATATTTTACCATAAAGAGTAATTGGCACAAAGAAAAATTAGCCTTGTGCTTGAAGGTGCTTTTTAAAAGAGTACTTATGTTTTATCTTTGTTCTTGAGTCAATGTACAAAGAATATTGTATAATAAATCTGAAACATGACTTAGGTGAGGAATAGAAGGGTGGCAATACATGTTGGATAATTGCTACCAGAAGGTGATCTGACAGAAATCTGTTGGCTTAAAGTTGTTTTTTATTAAAATTGTATTGGAAGGGTACTCTAAATAAACAGGCTGCTGATGTATCTTTCTACCTTTTGAGAACGGAAAATGTCTTCACCACATTAAATAGCATAGTTCCCTAAACTCACCGTTTTGCATTTTGATGTTGCTAAATAAATGGGGCTGGAAGCGATGGTCATTTGAATTATAGACATGTCAGTTGTGCTAACACAGATAAGTTCCTTCTACTATTTTGTATAGAAAATCCTTTCTACCAAGAGTCTTCAGCTCTGCTTCATTGCTCGGCAACCTGGCATAAAATTTCTCAGCTGGAGAGTGAATTTTTAAAAGTGATACTTGGGCCACAGAGAGAAATTCCCTCTCAATGTAATTGAAAAACTGTAAATTGTTTAAAGTTCACATAATGCAAGTACAGCTTTGTTTTTTAAAATTAGATGTTTCAAGATTTTTTTGTTGTTGTTGAGGGGATGGGGTAGAAGTGGAGAATGGAAACAGAATCATTTACATGGAATGGGGATGTAATTTTTTCCCGTTTGATATTTATGTAAGAATTTCTAGAACGTTAGCTTGCTGTGTATGTGTGACATTAACACTGACCTGGTTTAAAACGAATCAATAATAATTGCAGATAGGATCAAGCTGGAACACCAGATGCAGCACTCACTGAACTTCTGAGAAAACAGGGTTCATACCTGCACTTTGTGGACTGAGCCTTTCTTTAATAATAAATAGTTGACCTTTAGGTAGAGCCAGATTTTCAAAAGAGCTTAGCTCCCATTTAGGCACCTACCTGAAGTGGCTGGATTTTCAGAAGAGATCAGTGCCCAGCAGCTGCCATTGAAAATCTGTTCACTTCCTTTAGGTGCCTGAATGGTAACTGAGCTCTTTGGAAAATCTGGCCCTATCTAAAGGCCAGGGATGCCAGATCGGTGGTCTCAGTATTGCCCAAGTAGCAGGAGAGAACATTTTATACTCAAAAGAAACAGGGAGGGGAGAACTAAAAATCTCACCGGTGTGGTTTCTAATTTATATTGGAAGAGCCCCGACCCATTTCCTCCCCATGTTGACGGTGGACCTGCCTAGATGCTCTGTTACATGAGACAACACCTATGGGTGATTGTGTGGTTAAAGTGTTGTGTTGTGAGAGCTGAGTCCTACACCCAGCTCTGCTACAGATGTTGTCACCTTGGTGACACACTATGGCACACTTCCTCAACTGTAAAGTTCAGATGATAATAGTTCCCTATTGCTAAGGAGCAATGAGGCTAATTTCTTTCAGAATGACTGTAACGCTCTAAGTCCAGAGTCCTTATTTACACAGTTAGCATGTCCTCAGATATACTGTGAGGAACATCATGGAAAAACCCTATATATATATATAACTAACTTTCAAAAAGCAATCTGATTAAATACTTAGGGATTGTATCATGTAATGGTGCCATCAGTTAGTTGACACTGACACCTTACAATGTTACGACTCTTCAAATTAAGAATCTGTATTTAAAACTCCCCAATTGCATACGTCTCCAATATAGTTCTCCACCATGGCTTAACAGCCCCTTCCAACACAATGAAGTTCCTTTGAAGTAGTACTATTAGAAATAATCAACAAAAACAAGTGAAAAGAAAATTCACCCACAGAAAGCTGCATTTAAGACTGCATTCATTCTAGGCTGCAGAACCACACCACCAGTGCTCAAGAGTGCTTTTGTTCTTGTAAATATAGTGCTTGTAAGAGATGTTGGCTTCACAGCCCTGGAGACTGTAGTCCTCTGTTGATTTACACAACAGTTACAGCACAAGCATTGGCAGCACTAGCTTTCTATCAATGTGCTCCTGCCCTGACCTGGAAGGACCTCCTCTACATAGGGGAGGCTAGTTCAGTCTCTGTGCCCATTACTACCCTGGTGTGTCTATTAACATGGTCAACAAATAAAAAACACCCAGCTGGTTTGTGATGTGGATATCTCTCCCCTGGGAATTGGACTGAGACCCGCAGTTCATTTCATATAAATTACCAAATATCCATCAGATGTTACTGAGCTGGAATGCACTTGAACCAACATCCTATACATGAAAGATATTAATTTCATTATCAGTCCCCCAAGCCATCCTGTGCTTAAGAGGTGACACATGTGATTGATTGTATGCTGGCACAGCCACTGGCAGTAGTAAAAGGATGTTGGTATATCTGCTGGGCAGCAGCCAATCACCATGCGCAGGAAATGCGAGACGCAAAGCAGGAGGAGGATAACAGTGGCAGGGAAATGCAATGGGTCTGGAGAGAGTTAAAACAGGTGGGTGGGGAAGAAGTGGGAGAGCAGGCACTGAAGAAAAGGGGTAGAGTAAATGGAGCTCAAAATGGGACAAAATTTGGAGACCCACAATTAAAAATAGTCCCACTCTTTGCAAGGCCTTTGAAAGCCAAAGAGCCTGGCTAATTTCATTTCAACAAGTAACATAGTTTAGGCTAGGTCTACACTAGGGGAGGGGATCGATTTAAGATACGCAAATTCAGCTATGCTATTCGCGTAGCTGAATTCAACATATCCTA